CTTTCCGCAGCTCCTTTAATTGTTTGTTATTGTTATCACGATTATTCTTTAAAATAAAGTTATATAGTCATTAACGTTATTGAAACTGACAGCTGCTATACAGCTCGTTGAGAAATGAGGTTAAGTTGGTCGCTATAAGCTACTCCCTACGTCCAATGTGTCAGAGCCAACTTCGACCACGTTTTTATTTGAACGCTCGTTATAAATTTTTTGTTCGACACTGTACACCATTTTTATTTTGTAATATTCCGTTTACTTCTTACCAAAAGTCTGAGTGGAATAATAATCGGTTCACAAAAAATGCAACGGGGCACGTGCGCTCCCACAGTCAACCAATTGCGAGAGTCCGAGTCGCAGCCTCGATGATATATGTCATGTCCGACCCCTTCCACCCGAAGTTGATAGGGGAGATGCGTGAAATTTACTTAGTCTATACGAAAGAATTACCTGACCAGACCGGTATGTCTAAATAAACTCTGCCATGTTTTTATTCTTCTTACAAAATGTCTTCATAAAAGCAGTGTTTCCAGTGATTTTATTTTTTCTTTTAATTTTATGCTTTGCCTGTGGATTTTTGTAAGTAAATTTTTAAATAGATCTGATACAATTTCAGGTATATTAGCGATCTTTCGTTTGCGGTTATTCTTGACCTATTTTACGATTTACACATTTCTGTGTGCGACTGTTTACAGACTTTCCAGTGTTTACAAGATGTCGAATTGTATCATCCGACTGGACAACTACGAGGGACAGTACTATCCGGGCGATCCTATAATAGGGAAAGTGATTTGTTCATTCAACACTTCGAAAAATATCAGAGGTAAATATCCATTTAAAATATAAACAAATTTTGGTAGATTACACAGGTCAACATATGATCTAAGAATAATCACCGGACCTGACCAGGGTACTTATAGGCTTTTTGGATCGCTGATTCCGAATCCGAGGTTGGCTAAGCTCCACCACGCCATGTTTAAGGTCATTTGAAGGTCAAATAGCCAAAAATGGTCTAAAAAATCTGAAAAAATTCATACGTATGTTTTTGGGGTAGCCGAGTTCAAAGCCGATGCTATTTTTACTATTCAAAGACATCTAAAGGTCGTATCAAGGTCATTTGGAGGTCAAATCGAGAAATATGGTTCAAAAAATCTGAGAAAATTTATACGTATGTTTTTGGAGTAGCTGAATTAAAATCCGCTGTCAGTTTTACCCCTGAAGGACATCTGAAGGTCATATGAAGGTCATTTGAAAGTCTAATCGAGAAAATTGGTATAAAAAAATCTGAAAAAATTTATACGTATATTTTTAGGGTTTCTGAGTTTAAATTCAATATTACTTTTACCGTTACGAACATATGAAGATCATTTCAAAATCATTAGAAGGTCAAACGAAGAAAAATTTGGAAAAAATTATTTATGTTTATGAGTTTTCTGAGCTATATTGTGATGTAATCTTAAAACGTCTAAAGATCATTTCAAGGTTATTTTTTCATCAATCCAAGGTCAATTTAATGTTCATTTAAAAGATAAATTAAGAAGATTTTCTTTTAAAAATGAAAGTGTATTTATGTTTTTGGAATCATTAGATTTCTTCTTATTTTATCCTGCAAGGTCACTTAAAGGAAATTTTGAGGTCATGTGGACGTTTTCATTGTTTGAAGGTTGTTATACTCATTAATATACAGATTCATATTTCTGTAGTACATTTATACATTCTGTATAGTAGGATCGTATTCGATGCAAAGTAGAGCAAAAAGTTGTCGGTCTTTTNAGTCGCCGTGCCAGCTGCCCAAGTTCAGCCAAAACATCACCAGTCCCAGAGCAACCACGATGCCGCAGACCCGGAGTCGGCCGCCCAGTTCCCGTCTCCCGAGCCAGACGCCAGCAGCAGTCCCAGCGGCCGAGCAGCCACGTCAACCGTGGACTCGAGTGCGGGAAGTGTCGCGAGTGTGAATTCGAACGAACCAAGTGACAAATACCCTAGCGGTATTCGCGGGTGAAAGTGACAAACATTTCCCAGAGACAGAAAACAGACTGCATATTTTACCCCATTACAACATTTATTTTTATATAGTAGCATTTTGTAAACATTCATTTTCCGCACTGCGTGCACATTTATTTGTCATTTTTCATGTAAGCATAACATTTCTTAGTCTCCAATAAAACCAGGCCCAACAATCAGTAAAGTCGATTCGCACAAAGGAGGGAGGTGTCACCGAACCAAGGATTTTACATTAATTCTAATGTAAAACGAGCACAAATCGCTCCGTGCAGGGGGCCCTACAGAACGTCGCAGGCAGCGGCGAACGGCGTTCAGTCCCCCGTCCGACCAAAATTAATTAGACCACCTCGCGGTCGTCATACAGCAGTAGTAGCAATTATAGCACTAGTTCGGCAGTTGCATTTATTTTTGAGTTTTCGAATCTTTAGTTGTTTTAGTCAGCCACATTACACCGCGCTCCACCAAACGAATCGACAACTGAATCTCGGGCCACATTAAATCCATAAATCCGACTTTTATTTATTCTACGAAAGTTTTTGTGACTTTTTTACAAAAAGTCTCAACCCAAAAAAGAATTCGCATAAAACAAAAGAAAGCTAATAAGTTCGTCAAATATTAATTAGTGTTCTCAACATTACAACGTTCTACGCCTTCCCAAGAGTCTCACTAGCCGGGGACCCCAAAAAACTATTTCAACAAAAATCCAACCACAAGGCGAGGCGTAGACACTCTCGATTGACCTTCAAATGACCTTGATATGACCTTCATATGACCTTCAGATGTCCTTCAGAGGTGAAACTGACAGCAGATTTTAACTCGGCTACTCCAAAAACTTACGTATAAATTTTCTCAGATTTTTTAGACCAAATTTCTCGATTTGACCTCCAAATGACCTTGATACGACCTTTAGATGTCTTTGAATAGAAATAGGCTTTGAACTCGGTTACCCCAAAAACATACGTATGAATTTTTTCAGCTTTTTTAGACCATTTTTGGAAGACCATTCGGAATCAGCGATCCAGAAAACCTATAAGTACCCTGATCAGGTCAGGTGATTATTCTTAGATCAAATGTTGACCTGTTATTATTACCTACTTTCATTACATACTAAATTGGCTATGTCCGTCACAGAAATAACAATCCCGCTTTATATTTTGTTTTCTCATATACACTGTCCCAAAATAATTCATATTTTTTGCAGTTCAGATTTTAAAAAATCTATGAAACAGGTCAATTAGTAAATAGAAATTGTCACTTTTCTGCCAATATTTTCTATTTTTTTTTTTAGCCTTGTTTGACAGACATAATATTAACGTTTTTTTTTTAATAGGACGCTCTCTATTTATAGTATAACCTATCTAAAGACTATTTCGGCGATAAGGTTTTACCTACTTTTTTGTAACAGAAAAATGTTTAAAATTGTCTTTTATGTCGTACTGACTACTATTTCAAACAATCAAAGTATCTTCTGTACTTAAAAAAACGTACCTACTCTTTATTAATCTTTTTCTACTTATTTTAAAGCTTTCTTTTTCGATAAACACATAAAATTCACCTTAGGTATAAGTGAATCGTTTTAGTTCCAATTCATTCGTTGTTAAATTATTTTGAAAAATGGTTTACCGTTTAAGCGAAAAACAGAGAATTACAATTTTAATTATGATTGAATGCGGAGATAAAACCCGTAGTCAACGGGTAATATTTTCCGAATTAATAACAGACTAGCAGGACATTAAACGTTGAAGGCAACAAGGGTGTTATAGGATAATGATGTGCCTCTGTGCGTTATTATCCTAATAGCACCCCCATACCTTAATTACTATTACGCATCTGTCTGCGATTATAGTAAGTAACTTTAGGTATAATGCTGAAGTTGAAGGGAGAAGAGCGCAATGCCTGGACAGAGCCTGACGGAGATAGTCAAATCCATTACAAAGGACATGAGACATTTCTTCACGAAGAAAATTCCCTACATGGAGGAGGTAAACTAAAGATATACACTACTTGTTAAGTTAAAAATAACGCAGTGCATGCCTAGAGTTGAAAAGAATTGTTAATAACGGGGGATAACTTTGAAATCTTAAATCGGAACCCCTATTTTTCATTGCAGATTCGGATTCGGATTCAACGATTAAAAGTACGTAGGAATTGTCTAAAACATTTTTTTAGAATCGTGATAGAGAACGCTGTAATCGACGATGTTAAATTTTTTCTATTTCTACAGAACTTATGAATACGAGTCTCTTTTCTGTTAGAATTTACCGTAGAATTAAAAATGCTAAAATAGACAGAGTGTTCCATTTGAAATAACAGAGTTGATGATGACTTCTGGCATAACCGGAAGTGTGAGAAAGTTGACACTATTTTCATAGAATAGATCTTGATTGATACACCCTTGTATACAAATTTTCAGATTTCAATTTTGACTACTTTTTAAGATAATCCTACTGGGCCCTCTTCGTGATACACCCTGTATATTATGAACAAATCTTGTAAACAAATGAAACACTGTAACAATTATAAAACATAATCTCACAAAGGAAAAGTTACATGTTTAGTTTTTTATTAATTTATACAGTACTATGCAATGAAATACCTACCTTTCAATATATTACAATATCAATGCAAAGATGGGCGTTTATTAATTTTTGATGTACCTGTAAGAAAAAATTAAAGCATGTGTTCTATACTTAATAAAAAAACCTTGAACAATTAGGTAACTGTATTATTTTGAAATAATACGTACATTTAATAATAATAATAGGGTTGTTGACCAATTTCAAAAAGTAGATAATTCTACACGTGCTAACTATAGTACGATCGTATACGATGCAAAGTAGAGCAAAAAATTGTCGGTCTTTTATCAAAGGAAAATCGTGTCATCATTTTTAGGAGGCGTAAGATGAACCGTTTCAAATTTAAAATGAAATTGAATGTAAAATCTGAAATACCGCCGCATACGCACTGTGTTCTGGTACTAGCTGTAGTCGGCCAGGTGCATCGAGTGTACGAAGTGGTCGGTTATACGTCAAATACTAACCTGGCGAGCTTGATCGTAGAGCAGGGAACAATAAACAGTGGCGCGTACAGAGGTGAAATGTAGTACATATGTGGAATTTAAATAACGAATTGGATTTATAATAAATTACATTTAAAACAAATAGTTTATGAGAATAAAGGGATTTTTGTAGGAACAGGGTTCCAGACGTGAACTGATCTCTTCATCGCACCCCATTACGATTCTTTTTTTTATAAGGAGAACGAAGTTTCAAAGCAAAAACCTTGTATAACAGATATACTATAAATATTTACAGAATGAAAACAAAATATAAATCCTATGATATGATTCTATCAAATGAAAACACTAACAACAATTCTCTACCAATCTCAACAAAATAAGTTATTTTTCTATCAAACAAGAAATGTTAACAAATTATAAACAAAATATAAATTCTATGATTTATGTACTGTACGCCAAACTGCATTTTTCTCATCTTCATTTAATATTAATTTCTTCTTTGCACCCCCTTTTTTAGGTTTCTTAACGTCTCCTTCAATTTTCTTCTCTCTTAAAATTTTGAAAACAGATAATTCGCTTACTCCAGTATATCTAGAACACATTTCCACCAAACCAGTCTTCAGTTTCATGGGATGATCCTTTTCTAAAGGGTTATAGACATTTAATATTATCGTTTTTTCTCTGTAACTTAATATAGATTTTTTTGTACCCACAGCAGTACATCCGGCTCGCGAACATCCAGGCACCGCCTCCATTTATCCATATAACGACAACAGAGCAATAATAATACAAAAAACTTCACTTCACTAGCACAGAAAATATAATAGCATTCACGATTCACAAACAACAGCCCGAAACACACACACAGCACACAAATAAAACACTAAAAACACTTTTGTTACGGAGCACAAGAAATATGATTTCACTCACAAATTCTCAAATAATAGCGCGAAACACACATATAGCCCGAAAGAAATATAATTGCACTTATAACAGTTATAACCTCACAAATATCGCGAGCGAGAAACACGCAGCACCAATACAACCGAAACGAAACTGACCACGCCAGGCCGGCACGCGCGCCGCCGCAAAAAACACAAGACACAAGTCATATGAGGGATAATGAAGGGAGTAATAAATGTATTGTTGTCCTGCCGCCCAATGTGCGAAGGAGATGCCTTTGTTTTTCATTTTGTCCTTCATAAATATATAACTGTTAATCCATAATACATAAAGAAATTATTCAATTTCCAAAACCCCCTATAAAATGTGTTGCACTGATTCCCTTGGCAGGCAATGATTTATTACTTTGCATCGAATACGATCGTACTATAGTGTGTATACACAATTAAACATTGAAAAATGCGTCAGAACAATTTTAAAATAATTATTTAAAACTGATTTTTTTAATAACATTCCAAAACGGTTGTGACGTCATAAGGGGCACCTTGTAGTGAAATTATGTATAAATGATTGCGTATAGGAAACAAATTGGAAGAATACCCTCTGTCAATACTGTCAGTAGTGTCAGTCTGTCAGTAACACTTGTATACAATATTGTCAAGTCTATGAGTTATTTTCCTTAATCTTCGATTTCCTTTATTAAGTAAAATTATTATTTAGTAATAATCATTTAATATCTTCCCTTATAATTAAAGCAGAATGTGTGAAACTGGATTTGTGAAAGCTACTTCGCAAATCTTACCGAAAATTGATATTTTTATGATCATGAATTGAATTTTTAGAAAGAAACGAGCGTTTTAATACTGGCGAAATCAGAGGATCAACATATTTAATAAATGATTTTATTGTGTATATAAAATACCTATTTATTTATGGAAATTTATAGTGCAATTCGGGAGTCTTATGGAGATAATGCAATTGGCTATGTGGAATGTGGAACAAAACACCACTTAAATTTTGTTGAACCCATTACAATAAGGAAATTAATAATAACTACCACAAATACTCTTAATTGATAGACTGCTGTCACTAGTGTCACTTTTGTTTAAAAAATGGATAATTTTGACATATTTTCTTCTTCAAAATTATGCGATCGCTACTAGCTTCCTGTTCAATTGCCCCTTATGACGTCAGACTAGTTTTTAAGTAGCGCAAAAATTCATAAATGATTTCTACCGCTAATTTGTCATATATTTAAAATTTTATTATACAAGCAGGCTCTTTTATATAAAATCTTTGTATCAATAAAAATTTGTATATGGTTTGTTTTTATATGAACAACCCTATTGAATATGAACATAAACAACCTGTAGTTTTGATCAAAGCAATGAACTTAATAGTTTGGTTCTTAAAATAACAAGATTAGTAAACACTTCATATGTGTGCAGGTCAAATAGGATCTGGTAGACACGAGTACCCTTTTACCTTCCAACTATCTCACCACCTTCCCAGCACGTACCAAGGACATTATGGAGGAGTAACCTTTACTCTTAAAGTTAAAGTTGACATTCCTTTCAAATTTGACTTCACTGATTCGATGCAGATCACTGTAGCGTCCCCTGTAAACTTTAATCTGATAAAAGATAAACTCCAGTTGGTAAGTTAACAGTTATACAGGGTGATACAGTCATAATGTCAATAATTTTAAGGGAAGACAGGGAAAATTGTGTAGAATAAGAATACGCGATTAAAAAAAAGTTTAATATATATTTAGGCCTCTTTTCGGACCCCTCCTGACCGTAGACCCGCAGTGTACGACAACGAATAAACAGAGCGTTTTACTTAAGACACATCAATGAATTAGATATTTTTTCTACATTTTAATTATTAACAAGTAGGTATTATTTACTTGTTAATAAAAACAATGTTGTTTTCGATTGTTAGGTTATTACAATTTAATATTTTTAATATTGTCAACGTTATCACTATGTTTTATAATTGAAGTTGAATGAGTTTTTATTATTATAGTCCAGTCATTATAGATATGAAACAGCCTACAAACTGAATAATTAATGGAAAAAAATAAGTAGATAGGCTATATTAGTACGGCGCCAAAATCCCATGTATTTTCTTATGGAGGTTCATCCTGGTAATTTTTGACCAATTTTCCCCCACTCCTCCACCTTTTCCTTTTATTATATAATAATACATCTGTTTATTGAAATAGGTTGACCCTAATACACCATTCAATATACATGTATCTGACTAAGCCTAAAACACATTAACTACATTATACCTATAACTTACACACACACACACACATATATATATTGTTATGATTGTATGTGTGTATGGTTTTATATGTTAGCGCCAAAATAAATTTTGTTAGTTTTGATATTAATGTTGAGTGGATTGGTGTATTGTGTATTGTCTATCTTTGCCCTATCTAGCTCTAGACTCTATCTCCGTAGTCGGTTCTATGTTCTAGCAAGAAACCACACCAAGCACAGCTACAAAAACAAAAGGTTTAGTAATAAATGTATTTATTAAAAAATTTTTTTTTTTATGTCAAAATTTGTCACTCTACCCTCTTAAACACACTAGTAAATATATTTTGAAGTATTTTACAATGTTTATAAAGCCTTATACAAGAAGTTATATTACTAATCTCATTAACTTAAATTTCATGCAATACTGGTTGCATATCTTAATACACTGTAGTAATAACTTCTTGTTTAATACTTATTAATTTTCTCTACTATTAATATTTAATTCTACAAAGACTTGGCCAGTTTTAAATAGATATGAAGTGATTAGATAAATTTACTTGATAGTGAATTGGTGATTTACTAAACGTTTTATATTAATTTTTGTTTTCTGTATTATATATCGTATACGATTTTGTTTTATTATAAGAGGTACCTTTTTATACTTATAATCGT